TATATATATAAAATTTGTCCATATTTACATTTTTGTCCGAAAACCATTTAGAAAACGGAAATGAAAAGTAAAACTTAAAATGCATATCAGCTTGGAGAAAGGACTTACAGCAATGAAATAAACGAACTGAAACTGAAGAGACTTACCGCATTCTCCTCGATAAGCTAATTTAATGTACTTCTTTAAAATGCAGCCTTGTTTTTTCATTTCACATTCATTGAGATATGTTTCTCTGTCTGAACCGCACACTAATTTCACAACTGGTTCACAATGGTCATCACAGTGGCAGGTCGCTTTTCCGTGTCTGTCGATGTCACATGACTGGAACGGACTGCATTGTAGACTGTCACAGGGATTAGCCCCTAAAATTATGATAACAATTTGTCCTTAATATGTAAAATATAACAGGTTTAATTGCATTCCATTTTAATCTGTTAAGCTGCTTATTTTTATACAGCATTTCTTATTCGTTCATTGTCAGATATGGAATGTAAATGGTGAAGTATGGATAGGTTAAATATTTATTTAAGATCCCCTAAGTTTTGTTTTTCTTTTGGTGAGGATTTAAAATCACATGCTAAAGATGGTTTCCCAAATCAAAACTTTTGAGGCTTTTGCATTGATGGACCACTTGATGGTAACCATCAATAATTCCATCATGAGCCATCATATTTTTTGATTGTCATTAACATAAGTAACCATCACCCCAATGTGGAAATTCGGACTGATTTATAACGGTCCAATATAAGAATCGCAACCTGTTTTGAAGGTTTGTTCATCTTAAACCATCAGAAATTTTCCATCATGGTTTCTTAGAAATCAAATGTTGGAATGATTATCAATAACCATAATTCCAATGTAGTACTGATTCTCGATAGTTCAACATAAGAAAAACCAAATTGTTGTGATGGTATATTCCTGAGAGCCAACAAGAATTCCCAATAAACCATCATAGAAATGTATAGTTGGAACCAACATGGACCATCACAGATTGTTGATGCATGTGAATCAAACTTCTCTTGACGGTTAACCATCATTATATCAAAATATCATTTTCCATCATGGAATGATGGTAGTTTGTTGGCATATCAAAAAACTTGAATGCATAATGGAAAATGTTGGATGATGATGACCAAGAACATGGGCGATTAAATAAATAATGCCAAGAAATGGAAGCGGTAAGACATCACTTAATTAAAAAAAACTTTATTTACTTCATAAATATATAGATTGAAAATAACAATCAACATGTTTCAGTCGCTCAAAAATTAGCGTAAGTAAAATAAATGTGAGAAAAAAACGAGTTTTGTTTTTGCTTTTACTTTCCATTTTTCGGTTGCTGCTTTACGTTTTATATTTAAAATCACTTTTGTTTATGTCTGGCATGTCTTGAAAATGGGCGCCTATTTGTAAGCGCTTGAAACAGGACGACTGCTATTTCCGATATGTATAGTTTTGAAGCATATGACGTTTTTATTAAGTAAAAGTGGTATATATTTAAGTATTTCACAAACAAATAGCTTTATGTACTGGTTTCGACTGTTATGTGTATGTTAATATTCAAATGCTTACTCATTTTTCCTTTGCAAAAAAAGAATATATTTTTCAATTATGTGTACTTACAATTATTGGTGTCTATAAACTTCATTCATAATAAACGGAGTAAAGTTTAGTTGATAAACTATTCCTTAATGTTTTCAGTTAAGGTGTTGCAGATTCAATTGTAGTAAGATTTTAGTCAATTATTATATTAATTTATGAAATCAAGCTATACATTAAATTATTAAATTGTTATATTCGGTTGTTAAAAATCAATATTTTAACTCGTTAAATCAAGTATTGTATTTATTTCTTAATTCAGTCATTTAAAAAAATATTGTTTTCAGCTATAAAATGAATTATTGCAATTGATCATTTAATAAATAAAAGAGTATACAGTTAGTAAAATCATTGTTATATTAATTTATCCAATAAAATTATATATTTATTATATGTTATTCATTCTATTATTTATATTAATTATTTTTATTAATCATATTTTTATATATTAATCATTTATTATATTTAATTTTTGAAAAACACTGATATGAAATTATTATAAGTTAATAAGCACAAAAGTTTATTTCTCACAAATAAATTGAAAATTAATAAAATTATAATTAGGCGGATATTTGATATAGCATGGTGGATTATACGTTACAAATACTTAATTAATGGACTATTTTGAAATAATTCATAAAATAATGAATAATTTATGGAATTTATGAATTACTGATAGTTAACTTTTGATGGTAATACGCACATAATAAATCCCCTTGACTAAGGTAAAGTAACAATCATTAAAGAAAAAGTTCAAACAGAAGAACCGCTGTTTTTCAGTTTGAACTTTGCTTCTTTATTTAACTGACGTTAAACGTAGTTGCCAGAAATTACTACAAACTAATGTTTTTTTTTCTTCTTTTTTTTGTATCGCTCTATTCTTTTTAAAAGTAGCGCACTACCAAACAAACTATGGAAAAAAGTAGTGACTACAGTAATTTCGCTACTTTTGACCACTGACGTAGTTGGCACGAATTGCTACAAACAACTGTTTTTTTATTGTATCGCACTACTTCTTTTAAAACGTTGCGCACTATCCTACAAACTACGGAAAAAAGTAATGACTACAGTAATTTTGCTACTTGTAGCGCGCTACTTCTGATCACTAATCATGACTAACTAAATGAACAAAAGGCTGGGATAGCCTGGTTGGTAGGGCACTGGGCCTATATACAAGAGTTCGTGGGTTTAAGCGCATACCGACCGAAGACTCCCCGTGTAGTAAATGGTGACGGATGCACGTTAAATCTGTCGAGTCACTAAGTCCTCCATGTTCCCATAAACAATCAATGCCTCTGGTGGTACTGATCCAGGAGTTTTCTTGTTTTCTTTATTGTTTCAAAATTACAAGGCTACGGAGTTGAATATTAGTAGCCGTAAACCCAAAATTGGGTCTGCTGTTCAACGACGGATGTAAAAATAAATAAAACAATAAACTGCACCATGGTGGCTGAGGGGATAGAGCACTCATCTCCCAATGATGTGAACCTGGTTCGAATCCCGACTGTGGCTGGTTCATTCGAATTCCGCACCTGGCTCACACCGACCACAGTACTGACGTAAAATATCCTCAGTGGTAGACGTATCATGGATTAGAGTCCCCTTGCTGCCAGACTAATAGTGGGAGGTTTTCGTGGTTTTCCTCGTGCACATCGAGGTTTTCCTCTCGCTATGTAAAGCAAATGTGGGTTAGTTACATCAAAAAGTTCTCCACGAAGGCAAATTTCACCCAATGCTTGATTCAGGAGTTCCCTTGTCTTCTGGATTGGGTTCAAAATGACGAGGCTACAGAGTTGAACATAGCAGTCGTGCACCCATAAAATTGGGTCGGCTGCTCACCGACTGTTATAAAATATAAAAAGATAGCAAAATAAACTAAACTTCATTAAGAATAACATATACTTTGATAGTATTATTATAATTATCAGTCGTAGTTACTTATATAAGTACCAAAATCAGCATAAATACAATTTATTTTATTTTAAAGATGCTAAGGTGATAGTGTTGCCAGGGTTAGACGTCCGACAATCGATTAAAATGCACTCCAGTCAAAGTGAACTCCTTTTCTCAGCTGCGATGCTCGATTGTATAAAAAAAAAAGAATATAAAAGCTTACAAAAACTTTAGTACCTACCACTAGAGCATTCTCCAGTGTAAATTATTCGAATATTTTTTCTCGATTTACACGATTCTACTCTCAGAGTGCATTCATTCGTATACGTTTTTCCATCAGAACCACATACTGGTCTGAAGTCTGGAGAACATACAGAGTTGCATCGACACATTGGATTTCTCCCTTCGTCCAGTTGGCAGATTTGAGAAGTTGGGCATTCAACGCCTTCACATGGATCTGTAGAAAATGCAATAACAACGCTGAATAATAAGTTAACACTTATGAAGCAGAATACACTGATAAAATCCTATTTTACAAAAGCAACTAGAAGGAATACACATCATTTTAAGTTACACAGTATGGAATTTTCAATGGCCAAATTAATGGTTGCACTGTAAGATGTACGGTTTGTACTTGCTTTTGTTCGCGTATCAATTGTTTAGCATTGCAATGCAATACGCTAAAAATAAATACAAATAGGAAGCACTATATAAAAAATCTCCTGAATAAAAACCCATTACATGTATGTTTAAATATAAAAGCATTGCATAAATACTCGTGCAAAATGTGTAACTATTAAAACACTACAGTGCGTCTAGTAATTTGGTCTAATTTTTGGTCTATAATATACTATAATAAATATTCTACATTTATATAACATATCGTCCAATTTATCCAATTGTCGAATTTATATTATCTATCGTCGAATTTAACCAATTGATATACGAACGTAAACAAGAGCAAACCGGTTTCAGTCTCTTAAAAACATTATAGCGGTATAGTATCACCTGATAATTAAGATTTTATATAGAATCTTACAGTACGTTTAATGATTTGGCCATTGACTGTATTTAATTTGTTTTCAGCTTTACTAGGAAGTTTATTTAGCTTGTTCATCGTAAATTTTATCTTATTAGAATTTTTTATTACATTTTATTTTTTTTAAAAAAAAAGGAATTCGTTTCATGAGCCACATAAATTACATGAACAGCTGTTGTAGATTTTTAATGCAATCGATAACTTACTGACTGTGGTCCAAGTTCGGATAGTTGAAGCTCAAAAACTGTCCAAACGTTTTTAGATATAATAAAACAAATAAAGTAATTAGTAATTATTATAAGTTAGGGATAATAAATCAAATCGCTCAAAAATAAAATCGAAATAAATATTTAAAAAAAATTCTGCTCGTAGCAATGAATAAAAGTTTATGATATGATTTGTAAAACAAAAAGCCACAAAAATCCATTGGCATTTGATGAACTACACAATGTTTACAGATTTTAAACATTAACACGTTGATATTTTGATTAGATTGTCGTTCCAAGATTAAACTAAATACATAATTACAATTCTTCTATTATTTAGAAAAATAAATTAAATAAATAAATTAAATAAATAATAAATGAACGAGAGTATTTACTATACGAAGGAAACTAAAAAGCTTAATTATTTTTATGATTTTTCCTTCTTAATAAAGTAGACGAAAAGTACATAAGAGCACTATCAGTGTACTTAACATTAACTAATAATTGTTCTCTCAAAAAAATAGAAGTAAATCTCAAAATAAACAAGAGTAATATTAAATTTGGGAACTAAGAAGCTTAAGTAATTTATTAGAAATTCAGTACGGTTTTAGCGATTCAGTACTGTGTAAAGTAACCACAACATTTAACACTAAACATATCAACACTTAATCTATACCTATTTCTAACATAGCCGGTCAAATGACTGGATTTTATGTTTCTTGATTGAATATTTGGAATATGGATGCTAGAAAGGAAATAAACTGAAAATAAAACTTTATTACAATTAAGCAAAATTGTATATTTCCAATTTTTATGTATTACAAACACAAAGAATAGGAATTTTTAATTCAGTGCTCAACGCATTTTTTACGTATACAGGGTGATTCCATTGTACATTTTTTCAGACATATTTCTTCTAATTATTATTATTTTTCTTACAATTATTATAATTATTCTTTTAATTATAAGAATATATAAGAATTATAATTATTCGTATAATTAATATTATTTGTCCTAAGAACTTGTGCTGTCTTGATTGTTTCGACATCTTGATTGTTTCGATTTTTCTGGATAAAAACTAACAATTAGTTAAAAATGAAGTATAACTAGCAAAATAAAATGTAAGCTACTTACCAAAACATTTAGTTTTTGTCTCTTTTTCTGACCCAAAAATGTCAATCTAAACTTTTTGGTATTTTCTTGAAATATGAATTCACAGTTATTCGGATTGAACTAATTACGCAACAGTCTTTGCAGAAATGTGCAATTCATCGGATGCAATACGTTGAACACGCATGACATCGTCATTTCTGTTCCGATAACCTTATAAAGAAATAAATTGTTCTCCCGGTCCAATGGCCGGTTGTGGTATAAATAGGTATACGACAAGTATTATTCGAAACAAACGAAATACAAAAAATTATAACAATCGAATATGAACTGTGTATAATTGTTAGAAAAAGTCATTAAGCTAAATGTGCAAAAACGATAAGATGATAAGAGCATTTTCGACGCAAAAGTTCTTAAACAGTCATTTGATTGTTATGGTTTGTTTAGTGTAAACTGTTTTTGCATTCTTCTCGATCTGCTGCATTCTGCTGAGGAAAGTAATTATACAATCTAACAAAGTTTAGTTTCTAACTTTAGTGTAGTTTAGAATACAACATACAAGACTTGTCAATAGAGAAATGCACGTTTTCTCAGCAACCACCATTAGTATGACGTCAAATCTACGACACCTGAGTAAAAAGATCAGTTAAAATTATCTTACATGCAAGAAAAATAAGTGTTTTCGCAATCAAAAGCGCAATTCTACGATGAACTTTTATTTTCGCTGATGAACTAATTATGAAATTAATTTGAAGATAATAAATTTCTGGTTTGTTGAACAAAACTATAAACATGTCAGCTTCTTTTTTAAATTGAAAGATTAGAAGAATCTATGCATCATTACCACAAGCACCATGATATTTGATTTCAATAGGCCTCATTTCTCTACAGGAAGCACCTTTCAATTCACACGAATTCTGGTAATGTTTTCCGTCCGTTCCACAAACTGAATTCTGATCATTTCGGGAGGAGACACAGTTTTCTGGACAAACACATCTAGCTGATTCACCATCTAAAGATACTTTACACACTGAGCCAAACTGACACTCCATACTCTCACACGGATCCTGAGTGTCTGCAAAAAATTAACAGGACTATTTTTTATTTCTAGCAGCAGCACTTGATGTGTACATCATTCGCTGGGTCATAAAAACACTCCGCGCAGACCCATAAGGAATAACAACAAGTTAAGCAAAAATTTAAAATCATTAAAACATTCGAAATATAAAAACAATTAGAACAAAAAGCCATAAATGGAATATCAATAATAGAAATATAAAGAGAAAATCAGTCAGTTAGCAGTGCCTGCAACTGTTCCCTAGCATTTAAGTATTTCTCATAGATGTCGCCAGCAACTGCGGTGCAGACCCCCAGATGCTCAGCATTCATTGGGGAGTCCTCCCCGCACAAGGCACAGTTTGGACCGGGAAAGATATTAAGTCTACGGAGGTGAGCAGTAAGACAGGTCGTGTCCGGTTTCCAACTTAAAGACAGCAACCGCATTGCATCTCGGGTGATCAGGGATCTTATTCAGAGTCTCTTTCTAGAACTTGTTACCAATTTGTTCAATTAAATTATTTTCATAACTCTTTATTATAGTGTTTTTAATTAATCTATTTATGACAGAGTTTGGAATTTCTCTCTGTCAGCTCCGTAAAAAATACCAGTTCCTCTTTTAGCAAGAAGATATGCCATCTCGTTTTCATAGATATGACAGTGAGATGGAACCCACTGTAACACAATATTCTTTTTTAAGGATAAAAGTAGCCCAAAATTCTCACTGAAAAATATTTATAAACTTAAATCGCTATGTTATTTTTGCAATATATATTTTATGACAAATTGAATATTTTGAATATTTTTGAATATTTTTCAAGACGCAAATCTAAATGGTATTACAATATTATTTATTTACAAGAGGTGATTACCAATATAAATAAATTGTTAACGTGTGAAACTGCTGAAATATTTTTATAGTTTTCATTGAGTATTTATAAACTTCTCGATAATTGAAATAAACTTAAACTATAGCTGAGATATATTTATAAACTTAAATTGATTTATTTTTTTCACAAAAGTAGATATGTATTTTTTAGAATGTTTTTCAATCAAGTAGGTAATTTTGTTTTATCGTAATTTTATGATATGGCGACTGACTTGCAAATCACTAAAATTACCTAATCACTAAGTTACGATGAAACAGCTGTTTTATGCGTATTTGGATGCAATATTTGATATTAATTACATAAATAGTTGAAACTAACAAATTATTAAGGTAGGTTGGGTAACTGAAAATGACGTTTCAAAATCGAATGAACAATCAGTTTAGAATGGTAAGAAGAACGCCCTCATCTGAGTCCGATGGCATTTTTGGACATGGGTTGCTGTGCAATTTTCAATTCTTATGATGTACTCCATTATTCCTTCAACATTGCAACCATTGTACTGAATCTCCCACAATACACTGCTCAAAACAATTAAGGGATATTGAGGTGATGCGTTGATCTTGCACTTGGGTAATTGTTTAAATGATTGATACAGTATCGACAGGCGTAGTAGGAAATATGACATATGTTTGGTAGAAAAAAAATGTGGTTTACAGGGCATTTGGGAGTGAAAGGGAAAAAAAACATAATTTGTGCACGTGAAAAAAGAAAGGAAAAAGGTGTTTCCTTAAAAAAAAATTTTTTTTAGTAAGAGGTATGGTTTCCTCGGTCTGCCAGCAACGTTGAACACCTTTGAGTCATCGTGTCAATGACGTTATTAATGAGGAGTTTGGATGTTGTTCCGTCCCACTCCTCTAGAAGAGCTCTTTTCAGTTCTTGGAGAGTTTGAGAGAGTGATAGGCGTCCAGCAATTGGCCCGATTGGCTAAACATGCTCGATTGGGTTTATGTCCGGAGAGCATGCTGACCAATCTATTCGAATGATTCCTTCCTCCGAAAGGAAATCATTCTCCAAGTTAGCAGGATGTGGCCTGCATCGCCAATTACTGCAGCGTAAGGGATTACAATACATCTCAAAATCTCTTCCCTATATCGACGACTAGTTAGAGATCCATTTCGAATTATATAGAGATCGATACGTCCATCAATGGAGATGCCAGAATAGACCGTCAATCGACCACAGGCAAATCTTATATTTTCGAGCACGAGCACAGGATTGTTTTTAGTGCCACGTTCCCTCCAGATAAAAACACTCATATCATTAGGATGGACAGAAAAACGGGACTCGTCAGAAAAAAGAATATTGCGCCATTCATTTCTCCTCCCGTTTGTATTTTCTTCTTCGCCGTTACCGTGGCACTCAGCATTGGTCGGCAAACATACAGATCTACCTCAAGAAGGTGGTTTCGGACAAGTTTTTGACGAAACTGTGTTGGTACGAAAGTGTTGTTGAAGAAGAGAAGCATTCATATTTCGGTGTGTTCGAGCAATACCTCCTAGAAAAGAGAAGGCCTTACCATAGGTTACTATAAACAAGAAATTTGATCCTTTAGTAGTCCAAACGTAATGACATCTTTCGTATTTCTGACCACTGCGCAACTTAGTAGCCCAAACGTTGCGACATCTTTCTTCATTTTCATCGACTGCGCAGTTTATGTTCGTCACGTCGGACTACTAAATTGATCGTGCTGAAGCTTTCGTACTTCTAGGAGGTTTTGGTTCGAGCCTTTTGCGTTAAATATTGGTCTTCATTGGGCGTTGTTGCACACCTACGTTCTTAACCTAATCTTCGGCCTGCATTTCCAGTTGCCAAAAAGCGGTTACAGATCTTGAAAATCACACGTTGTGGAACAACAACTCTCCAAGCTCCTGATTCGGTTAAATAACTTCGTTGAGGCAGCGCACTCCTCGAAACGATGCGCTTACTAAAGGTTGATCATTCTTTACCGCTTTGTTTTACATTAAGTTGAAAGCCAAATCAAATTCGCTGCCACTAAAGAGCCGTCTTCGACGCCAAACTCAAAATTTGCAAATTTTTATTTGTGACTTTCTTCTTCTATTTTATGCAAATAAAAATTTTGCTTCACTATTACTTTAGACAAGACTTATAATATTCTGTAATTGTTCTGAGCAGTGTATAAAATTATAGGCATTCTCGTCAGGAATTCGTGCGTTACCAATGTTATTTATTTTTAATCACTGATTCTTATAGCCTTCGTTAAGCAGCAGACCCAATTTTGCCTTACGACTACTAATGTTCAAATCCGTAGCCTTGTAATTTTAAACCCAATTCAGAAGATAATAGATCAAGAATTTGCAGAAATTTTGCTTTCGTAAAGGACTTTTTGATGGAGCTAACCCGCATTTGCGTTTCATAGAGAGAAAAACCGCAAAAACCTCCCACGGTTAGCCTGACGGTAAGGTTTCTAACCCACGCCCTAGGGAAAAAGGCAAGATTTGCTGCAACCATGGTAACGAAAAGGAAAAAGTGTTGAGATTATGAGAAAGACGTCAACTTGAGATGCCCGTTCTGTCTGCAAAGAGTATGTAATCTCTTACCACAAGGACCGTGCCTCATTACAAATATCCTTCGTTGCTGATTGCAGGAAGACAGCCTCAATTGGCATTCGTTAGAATAAGTCACACCATCTTCTCCACAGACTGGAGCAAAAACGTCAGAGCATACTTCACCACAATGACAATAAGCTCGATTGGTTGATTCATCCAAGAGACATTGTGATCCAAGCACGCACAACATTTTATCACATGAACCTTAAAATAAACAAATTAAGAACTTACTTAAGCATATTATTATGATTTCATACATGAAAGATATTCCATAATATCTGCTTTCCCTATATGGTTTTAGAATCCATATTAAAAATCGAATATGAAACCATACACTTGGGATCACAAATTAAAAATAATATTTAAAAACAAAACATTTTTATGAGACGAATATTGGTCATTGCGACAGCAAATCTCAAAAACCCCAAGATAATAATAAATAAATAAAGATAAAATTAAACAGAGAGCTGAACTTTCAACAGAATCCAAAATGAAAATCAAACACATAGATTACAAAGTAAATGGAATTATGAGTAAAAATATTATGAGTCAAAACAGTTAATAAATATTTAAGAAAATATTATGAGTCAAAGCATTATGATTTACTACATGTTGTCAACGCATCAAAAATTGTAGAAGAATCTGAAAGAAAAATAGATTAAAGGACGGACGAAACTAAGAAAAGGTGAAAAGTTAGTACGGTGAAACCTTTCGGGACTGACCACGTTCTGTCCCACAGTAAAATGGTCGTTAATGAACGTTGGTCTAGAGGTTTACACCATTGACTTCAAAATTTTATAGAAGTTACTTGATTTTTGGCAGATGGTTTTAATTTTAGTCAGTGTCATTTTCTTAGAGCAGAAATGCCACTAGTGTTGGCATTATAAAAATCAGATCGATGAATAAAACTTAGCACCAATGAAAATGACCAATTATAAATAAAACCAAATTTACTAATAATGAATGATAGAACTATTTTAAATAAATAAACAAATATGTTTTTTGCATAATTTTGCATTTATATTAAGTTGGTATTTATTTATTTTTAATTTTTTGCGGTTATTTATTTTCGCAAAATTAGCTTTAAAAAGGGAGAAGTTTGTTTGCTTAAATAGGTTTGCCACTCCACAGGTAGAACAGGGAAAACCTGGGAAATTCAGGGAATTTAAAAATAGCAGGGAAAATGCGGGGAGTTTTTATTTTTTATTTTTGTCTTTTAAAAAACGGTGAAAACTCAAAACTATGGGATATTTAAGGATGATACTTCAGCTATACTTAACTATTTCATTTTCTATAGCATTATTTAAGTAAGTTCAGCTGTTCCTTTTTTTTCTCTAAGTTTTTCCAGCTATTAAAACTAATATATAGTTAGCACAATATAGCTCACATAAGAGCATAGTAATTGTTGTGTTTCCTCTTAATATATTGTGTATAATATGTACAGGGTTTGTTAAAAATCTTTTTGACGATCTCTGAAAAAGATCGTCAAAATGATTTCTTCAAATAATAGCCACTCGCAATATTTCGAATACATTTGTATCTACTTATTTGTTTTGCTAATATTTTTTGTCTTCTTATTTCCACATCTGGTGCAGAAGTTTACTCGGTCACTGGGAAATGTGAGTGCCTCTCA